AAACTTTGGCCAGACATGAGCAGAATAAAGAGGAGATTCCCATATGAAATGACGATTACAAAAATTCTGCGTTTGTGACCTATGAAAATGTTATCATCAATTTTATTAAAATAACCCCACTTCTAATGGCTCGTAACAATGTAACTCTTGGACCCATAAAAAAGGTAGCATGGGCCAATCTGCATTAGGCATCCACGTTGTGGCGGCAAATCACTCTTCAAGATCAACAGCCTATGAGCTTCAGTACTGATGCTGATCATCATAATTTTAATGAACTAGCGAAGCTGAAGCACGGTCAGGCGTCCAAGCCATTTGGCACGTTGTTGCGTTACATTGCGTTGCCCGTACGGGATCCTCTAGTCAGCTAATCTGAATCTATCGGTATTTTGATACGGCCTTTCAGATATATTGCTTCACGTGGCTACTCTGCTGCACTCTCGTGGGCACATTAAAAATGCGAATAATTAGGGACTGGCCTTTGTTTCTTTCTTGATCGCGCAAATGCACTTGCTAAACTGGTCAGCCTGACTAATTCGTATCCTTTTGCATTCCTGTTAAAGTTCCCAATCCATTTCTGAGATGACTCCACACACTTCTCATACTGTTTCTACTCACTCCAGTTGTCAGATAACCAAAGTAGTTTTGGTGAACAATAACTTGATGGATTAACCCATTTGAGATGGCGGGATGTAAGAATGAAGAATATTTACGTATATTGCAGTACCTCATTTCACCCATTTTTCCATTACTGACAGGATAGATTTTTCTGGTCAATTCTTCTTTATCCCCTGAGAATGTTGTTTCCTCATATTTCTATCTCACATACCAAGAATCTGTAATTTATCAGGAAATTTGAATGTAACTTACTCATCCCTGTTTAAGTTGCCTTCTTCAGTTATACTTACGTTCCTGAACAAGACGTTTATACATTCCGAATACATTACGTACTGTATCAAACTTCATATCCAGGCTGCAGATTATTTTTGAGCAAATGTCTGTGCAATGACATCCAACATCAATAATGCGAGTAGAGGATACTTGCGGTTTTCGAGCTCTCGCTTCTAGGTCTTGAGGCTTGGTTCTTTTTGTTCGGTTGTACCCCTTCGATGGTCGCAGAGATCCTTGCGTCTTTCTGCTTATAGCTTTGAAGGTAGTGTTTGTCTATTTGAAGGTGTTTTATTCGCAAATTGTAGCTTGGTTTGTTTAGAGGGGCAGCGGAACTACTGATAAGATCGATCAACCGTTTGCAATTCCTTTAGTTGTAAGCACTTGCAAGTAACCGTAAAGCGTTGCTTTAATAGTTATTAAAACGGGGTGAATTGGAGATGAAAAAAAGAGGTGGGAAGCTTTTTGAAAAGATAAATGTGGCTGGTAATAATATAGAAGAGAGGTGCATCTTACAGCGGATGCTAGGATTGGGGAATACGAGGGGAATACAGTGATGGAAGGGCGTATAATCGGTTGCTAATAACAAGTGTTCGTGGTAAGCCATTCGCGCTCACATAATCATCCAGTAGTTGTTTGAAGGAGTTGACTGATGTAGCTGTGGCCACTTCTTTCGGCAGCGCGTTCCATGAGCCACATGCTCCATGGGAGAAGTTAGATCTCACTCTAGTCTTTGCTCTACGGTGGGGTATGTGAGTGGGGTTCCCACTGGATTGCCGCCTTTGGACCGATAATGTTGCATTATTTGTGTGGTCTACTTGGTGAATTATCTTGTAGGCTGTTGTCAGATCACCTGGTTTTCTTCGATAGCTCAGTGTGAAGAAGCTGAGTTGTCTGAGGCGTTGCGCATATGTTTTTCCTGTTAGTCTGATAACCAACCTTGTCGCTCTTCTTTGTACCTTCTCGAGAGGATTTGCGCCTCTCTTTATTACTGGGAGGCTATCGCGTTGAACACCTCTAGGTGGGAATAACTCCGAGGTAAACAACTCAAGTTGCCTTCTTAGAAAGTGCATAATGACGTTCGCACCTGCTACCATTTCCTTATAAATGCCAGTAGTATCCAGTGTGTCAGAAAAGTTTAGTCCTAGGTCCTTCTCTGTGGATACCTTAATGATTGCACACCTTTTAAGAGTGTAATTGATTTTCATCGCCTCTGGTGTGCGAGGATATATCACCTTGCACCGTTTGCAGCGGACCAGGGCTCCAGCTGCAACAAGTCGTTTTGTAGTATCCTAGGATCCTCTTCGTTGCCTATCGTCCTCCACATTTTTATGTCGTCGGCGAATAGAAGGACAGATGAGGAGATTTTATTGGAGAAGTCGTTTATGAATAGTGGAAATAGGAGTGGTCCAAGCATTGCTCCTTGAGAAACTCCTGTTCTTGCTTCCTCCAGGTTGGCCGAATTCTGTTTACTTTGGTGAAGAATTCTCTACTCTCCAGGCATGCTGTAAGCCATGCTAAGAGTGGTTCGGTGATACCCACTTTTGCTAGTGTGGGAAGGATAATGCGGTGTGCAGCGCCATCAAAAGCTTTGGCCAAGTCCAAGAAGGTATCGTGAAGTGGTTGTTTGTTGTTCCATCCAGCAGTCCGGTCATCCCGAGCGGTCATCAAGTTTGTGGCACTTGACCGCCCGGTTCCGAAGCCATGCTGCGTGGAATAGACGTCATCGCCGGGTGTTCCTGAAACCCGATATAACACTGAAATAATTACTTATAGTGAACTGGATGAGAACCATTGAGAAGCGACCCTGTCCCTAAAGAATACTCCCTGTAATAGCCAGGAAAATAAAAAATTAAATCCCCTTCTTCCTAACCGTTAGGTACATAATCCATTACAACACCACACTTACAATTTAGACTTTTTGTAGGCACTCCAACTCTGCAAATAACCGACAACATAGCCCTCTACACAGTTTATCAACCGCCCATTGAGCGTCAAATGCATGGCGGCTGAAAGCCAACGAATAACCCTGAAAGCCACATCTGAGTCCTGAATGGTCATTCTCAGGTCTTCCTGTAACTAAAGTTTAGTTCAACATTTCATCTTCGTTTCGCATGCAAAACAAGTGATTCCAAAAGTTATCCCACGAACTGCTGAGACTATCGAATACGTTTCGTTATTTTATAAAAAGTTGTCTTTCCGGCAGGAATACAAAAACGCTATTGGCTGTCTCCTTAGTTGATGAGGTGACCTTTGAGATAACTCTGTAAACCAGATTCATCAATTAAAACTTAATGCCACCTTTTTCCAAATGATTTAATATTCCATGTGCTCGGTTTCGATTAATTATTGCAAGAGCAAACGTGATTGACCATCACTTAAGACCATGTAGCGTTACACAATTCTCCAGAATCAATAGCCTGGGATTCGACGAGACTCAAAGCCGATCCTGACCTTGATAGTTTAACTGGGCTCACTAGGCTGAAGGTACACGGTCAAGCATCCTCACCATTCGGCACGCTGTCGCGTTACGCTGCCCTGTCATAATCAACCCCCCAGACGGTTAGTTGGAACGCACAGTATCTTGGCGCCATCTCGCAAATATACCATTCCACCTGACTACGCTATTGTGTTCTTTCTTGATCTCGTATTCGTGGGTGTATGACAAGTTTGAATAATTAGCGGTTGTCCTCTACGTTTGTCACGTTTGGACAAGGAAAAATCCTAAAACATATCCGAACCGCTACCGTATGATTCACAAATGATGCAGATATACTTTGGGTGGTCCAGTAGGTAGTTGCTCAAATGTAATGAGACTTTAAAACCCAAGGAACCACTATCACTCAGGGCGAACGAGTCTAACCGATAAGTAAAGTGTCTTACTTTAATCGTCCTTGGTCTTAATAGTAACGTGATGGCTAATTTATCCTGCTTATTTTTCCGCTTCTAAGGTTATCAGGTGGGAGGAAAGCACAGGTAAAAAGGCTGAGTGATTTTCATTTCAAGTCATTCGCACAGCGGAATCCCACCGAACGGCCACTATGGCGGCCCTCGTGTTAGCCCAAGTAGAGTCACCCACCAAAGGGCTAAAACCCGTGTGCAATCACGCTTCTTCTCCCCGCGTGTTTTCGGCCAATGGAACGCATTGCCTGCCGAAATTGCTACTGCTCCGTTTGTTGACAGCTTCAAGAAGAAGTTGGACAGTTACTCAGCGACGAACGGTCTGCGCTCGTGCAACTGGGATGTGGGCTAGGCTGACACCACCTACCAACTCGGTACGGCCAACCGTTACTGAACACTTTGTGAAACCACTATCACTGGGAACTTGGCTGAACCTTATACCTTCCGACAGAAGTCCCCTCTGGTTACCCGCTCCCACTGAAAGAATTACAATATTCCCATTCGTCCTATCATGTTATTTATTCTTATTCCTCCTGACTTACGTTCCCGAACTTTTGCAAAAGCCCTCCCTCTCCCCTCTCCCCTATAAACCTCTCAGTGTTTCTTCTTCCGTGCCGTTTCCTTTTTCCGGTCTTCTTTTTTCTCTCTCTTCTCCCCCCTCCATTTTCTATCCGTTTTTCTCCGCACTTTCTCCCCCTCGATTTCTCTGCACAGATTTTTCATCACCTTTTTACAACCAGCCTGGCCAATTGTCTGCTGACACGACACCTGAGGAACCCATCTGCACCACAGCCCTCAGAAGGAAAAAACAAAACAAAACACTCTCTACAAACTTAACCAACACCAAGCCGCCCGCTGGGCTAACCATAGCTACCGCAGTCGAGTGGGTAGACTTACTGCATCAGAATCCACCAAAGACCTGGAACCGTTCCGCAAGACCTGAAAGCGAGCGCGAAGAAATCAATCAGTTCACACTAGCTAGTAAAAGATATTGGATATTGGAAGTCCTTTCATCGCATGTTATTGTAAGAACAGCGAAATTATTTGATAAATGATGTAATTTAGCAGCTTTAAATCCGTTCAATATAACGTCGGAACGTGAATGTACTGATGATTTCAAAGAACACTAGAGGAGTGTCTTCTGGTATATTTGTAAGTGAAACTGGTCTAACTGTGTTTGAATGTAGCGGTTATAACTACGCATTTGACCTTAATCGAGAAGTAGTTCGAATGCTTTGAAGTAATGAAACGTGTTGTCGTTCTTGGATGCTGTTCATGGGGCACTGCTATTGTTAAAGTGGTGGCAGACAATGTTGCATCATCAGACGAATTTTTCAACGAGGTGTGTGTATTATTTATACGTGTGACTGACGAAAACAAAGGTTTATTGGTTTGTAAGAGATGAGGATTATAATGGTAGAAACTTAATCAGTTGGATTAATGAAGATCACGTGAACCCCTTATATCTGCCGATAATCAGAGTTCCTTACAACGTCATCGCATTTTCTGATATTCAGAAAGTCACCGAAGAAGCAGATATTATTCTGGTTTCTTATCCTCCTTGTTACATTACTTGGTTATTAGATAACATGAAACAGTTTATTAAAGAAAACGCCTATTTTGTTTCATTTTGCAAGGTAAGTTGTTTTGAAGCCCAAGTAATCCAATTTTATGGAATGCTTATTGAATTGGTACCTTCATTTGGTTGTGTAATTTCGGTCATGCTTGCAAGTTTGGAAAGCTCCATGTTTGAATGTAGTCTCCATGAATCAAACACACTTACTTACCCCTATGTTCTTATCGGTTCATTGTAGCCCAGGGAAACACGTGCCTACAGCTTGAATTTCGGTAGCGTATAAAAGTCACCCAGTAATAATTCACATAAGAAAATCGCATCGTTTTTAAAATATTTTTCTCCCTTAAATATCTTTCTTTTCGTAACTGGAACACTTAAGAAAATTTTATGAAGCATCTGTGGAGGATGCTTAAGACTGCATTTAAGTCAATTTTTTTTCAGACTTTGGTGACAATACAACAAACCAAACTTTATGATACCAATTTATTTCATCGATCCTAGTCTCTATCATGATATGATCTAAGTTTGATGACAGTACTTCAACTTTGCAAGCTTTCTACTGCCCTCCATTGTGAGACATTTACTACCCCTCAGCTGCTTACTGCCTTCGTTTTGCAGTTCAGAACATTGGATGAGTTTGATTGGGATTCCTAATAGCTGATACTAATGCTCTCGGACCTTAGTAAGAGCATAGAAAATTGGTTCTATAATTTTGTGCATTTCAAACACTTAAGCTTTTGATTCAGTTTACATGGCTTTAGACGGTTTCTAAACAGTTCAGTCAAACTTAACCATACAAGGTAGAACCATAAAATCCTGCCATCCTTGAGAAACTATAGAATAACCTTGAATGCGCCTGGTTTTTGATCAAAAAAATGTAAGGATATTTTCAGTAGATCTGGTTTATTAGCTACGTGTAGGAATTTATCTATGTTTTCGACCTATTTTTACTGCCTAAAATAATCATATATGTGACCACAAAGCATTAAACCAAGTGAACTGTCACATGGATATATATAAACCTACAAACGGTCCTGTATCTTCTGTAAATTATTTTTATGAACACCTGTAGGAGTATTTAAACAGTAGAGTTTGACAATTTTGAGGATTCATTGGGGTCATTACACTGGATGAAGATGTTTCAGTTCCAAAGCAAAATGGTTGAAAAGTCATGCAGCAAATAAAATGCAGGTAGAATATTTCTAACATTGGCAGTGGAAAGAAACTTTATTAGATACTTCTTTGCTGCTATATGATCTGATAGATACTGCCTAACTGCTTGAAATTAGATGGTGTAGTTTAAGGAGTGAAATTAGGATTGCAATTGGGTTCCGTCATGCGGAACTTAATAACAGAGCATTCTACAGTGATAACCTATTGTCTATAATTATTCCCTTTATATTAAATGCAAAACACTGAAACTTATTTACATTTAGAAGATAATGCCAGACGGTAATATGAAAACTAAGTCTGTTTCCATTCAGTGGTTATTATCATGAGCAAAACTGTACAGAATCCTGTCTATAAATGCCAAATAACTTTGAACAATCCAGATCTCCCAGAACAATCACACAGTCATCAACCAGTTTTGATGACCAATTTAAGGTCCGTCAGAAGTCTCTCAAAAGGAAAAGATTACATAGTTCTACTTAGTACAATAAAAAATGTAAACGCTTAGAGTACTAGAGTTAAAGCAGCATACTCATTTTAGCGTACAAAAATAAAATTGTTGAATATCTGTTATCTGTCGCATTTAAAATGGGAAAATTAGTATCACTAATATAGCTATGATGTATTTAGCCATCCTATTTACTAAAGTGCTTCATGCCAGTGTCATTCAGAATGCAAAACAAAAATTTCTGTGGTTAGGCATTTTTAATCTCCAAGCCACCTCACCGCCATTAACAGTGAATTTAGTTGTAAATAATTTAATCTTCTATAACGTCATTAAAGACGAAATTTATCTGAAAAATGCGATTCACTTCCGCAATACATTTCGAAATATCTGATCACACCACACAATATATATTAAACTGAGGAGTGAAGGGTTAAATACAACAATTAACACAACTACTATTTCATTATTACTCACCCCTAAAAGTCCTAGTGGAACATAGGACTTCAGTAGCACGTCTCCATTTCACTCTATTCTCTACAGTCTTTTGAACCTGGCGCCACGACTGTCCACAAGCTTTCATTTCTTCCTCACATGGTCTCTTCCATGTCACCCTCACCTCGGTCGCCCAACTCGTCGTTTCCCCTTTGGATTCCACTCGATGGCCTGGCTTGGCGCGTGATGTCTCCAGTCGGCCACCTCAGTGTATGCCCAATCCATCTTCACGTTTTTCTGCGTATTTGTTGGACGATGGGTTCTCGCTTCGTTGGTTCGTCACCAGCCAGAGTTCCTTGTCGCTTATTCTTATTATTCTGGCCATCTGATCTTCAGCATGGAGTGAGCGTAGGCGGCAGCTGTGGATGAATGTCTGCAGCTTGTTAGAAATGCTTTTCGTAACGGGCCAAGTCTCTGAAGTGTCACATAGAAGCACTGACTTGACATTGGTGTTGAAAATCCGGATATTGTTCACGCTTTAAGCTGAGTGCAGTGCAGTAGATCCCCACACTAGTTTCAGCTTGATGAACGCCTGTCTTGCTTTCCCAATCCTGGCTTTGACATCCTCATCTGTGCCTGTGCCGCCACCTGTAGTTGAAACGATGCTGCCAAGGAAGGTAGGTGAAAGAGATTACTTCCCTTAGGTCTCTCCCGTTGATGGTGACTGGTGCCTCTTGTTGTTGATGCTGTTGTTGGTTGGGTATCTTCATCACCTCCGCCTTCTCTACATCCACTTGAAGTCCCGTCTTCGCTGCACTGCTTCTTCTATCAGCTTGTCAGTTTTCGCCTGTAGATCTTCAGGTTTGTGCGACATTAGACACAAATCATCATCGACGCGAAACCCAAATCTTCTAGGGTGATTTCATCGGCCCAGCGTATGCCCATCTTCTCGTTCCCCACTGTTTGTTACATGATCCAGTTCAGCACAATCAGGAAGATCATGGGTGATAGTAGAGAGCCTTGTTTTACTCCTGTCTTCACTTCAAAGGCATCACTGAGCTTCGCATTGTGAATTACTTGTCATGTGGCCTCTTCATGTAGTTGTTGAATGAGATTGATAAAAGTTTGTGGTATTCCGTAGTGTTGAAACAGCTGTTTGCCAAATTACTACGCGGTCGACGCTGTCGAGGGCCTTTTCAAAATCGATGAAGTTGAGGTAGAGAGTTGACTGATATTCTATGCTCTGTCCTATGATGATGCGTAGCGTAGCATTACGATTTGATCCGCACAAGATTTGTTCTCCCTGAATCCAGCCAGCCTGTTTCGGTCGTAATTTTGAATCCAGAGCATTTTCGTTTTAGTCTCTCCAGGATGATGAGGCCTAATATTTTGCTTGGAGTGGACAGCAGCATGATTCTGCACCTGTTCTCGCAAAGACTTAGGTCTCCCTTCTGTGAAAGTTTGACAAGGTAGTTGTTCTTCCAATCACTCGGCAGGTACCTTTCCTTCCTTCCAAACCTTCTCCACTAGTGGTATGAGCATGTCCACTGCTGATGTCTCTGCATCTGTTCTCGGTGCTGCTGACAGGATTCCATCCGGTACTGCTGCTTTCCCGCTTTTCAGTAGCTTTATGGCGCTCAGGACTTCGACTTTCACCGGAGATCTTGTGTTCACTTGTAGTTCTTTGGGTGCAAGTGGTATTTCTTCTTCCTTCCCAACACGGTTATGCAGGTTTCCTTCCACATCTCTTTCAAAGAGCTCCAGAGTTCATCCACACAGGTTGCTCGATATCTCCCACTTTGTCTTGATGACTGACGTGAAGATGTCCTTTGTAGTTTCGTCCTTCAGTTTCTGTACTGGGCGCTGAACTTGAACTGTGGTCTTCACCAAATTATTTGAAGGCTTTCAACTTGATTTTGAAGTTAGATTCCTTGCACTACATAAGTGGTGAGTGCTGTGAACCTACATCTGCTTCTTGATCTGATCTTGTGTCTAGTAGGCTGCGTCTCTACTTTCTTGAGATTGAGATGAAGTCGATCTGATTTTTAGTGTAGTGTGTCCTGGTGTCTGGTGAAATCCATGTCGCTCACTACCTTGTGAATATCTTTGTGTTTGTACACGCTGCCTCACCTGCAATCACCAAATCGTTGAATGCGCAGAAATCTGCGAACAGTCCGTTCTCATTCATTTCACCGAGTGCTTCTCGACCCATGATCAGTTCTCTCCCTGTGTTGTCTGCTCTGAGTTTGGCATTCATGTCGCCCATTAGAATTTTGATATCACCAACTAAAGTCTTGTCCATTACTGATTGCAGTTGTCTGTAGAACTCCTCCTTCTCTTGATCTGCATTGTTTGTAAGTGTGTAGCGTAGCGTAGCATTGTATGTTAAATGTTGTATTGGCCCCCTCACTACTCGGTCTAATATATATTTACTTGAAAATTAGATGTGTGATCAATTTGTTAGAAGTGTATTTCGGAAAATACATCACATTGTTCAGATAAACTTCGTCTTCTAATAATATTGTCGAAATTTATGATGGGGAATAACTGTTTCAAATGTAGTCTTCTCATGTTTATACCAAATTACATATGTATTTACTTTGTATTATTATGAAATGGAAATATTTGATGCAATATCTTCATATCGTCTTTTAAGTGTATTGCAATATTGTACTTCTTAGGTAAGCTTGGCAACTGTAATATTTCTGAAATAAGGCGTCTGAAGGTATGATAATGTTATAAACTGAAAAGTGTGCTTTCATATAACGACTGTTGATTGGTTCTGAGAGATTTTACGCAGTTTACTTTACAATTAATGAATAAAAAACAAAATATATCAAAAATAAACTAATTTATTAGACTCTAGGGTGACCGGAAACAAAAAACTGAGAATCCATGGTGTTTATAGTTTCGTGGATAGTATTATTGAGATAGTCAATAAGATGACTAAATGTACTTTGAGTGTCAGTTTACTAGTTATTCGAGATAATAATCCAGTAAATAGATTCAAC